ATTGAATACAAGACGTCATAACCCTATGTTAACCCGGGCTATTCAAACTATCAAGTCCCCGAATTGTCACAGGTATCCCTATGTCACAAACAATTAATCCTATTAAAAACATCGCTAATCCTATTGTTTATTCCAATTACATTCAAATTGTTTGATTTAATTCCTTTTAGCACCTTTAATGACTGCCCTATTGTTTTCAGTTTCGAAGATAATCCAACACATCTGGCACTGCATCATGACGTAAACAATTAAGTATACTAGTCTTTTGTTCTTTATTGTAAAGGATTAAATGACGTCAGTAGGGTCCCTCTAATCCATTGTTCTAAAATAAAAGAGATTAAATGATGTCATTAGCGTCAATTACCTAACTTTTGTTTTAAATTTCAAAAGATAATCCAACACATATATATATATATATATATATATATATATATCTTTACCGGTATGACTTATAAATATGAAATTAAATTTTATGTCAATGTATGTAATTGTTCATAGCAAATATACTGTAACACTATTAAAAATACAACAACTACAGGTAATATATATCCGTGTACATTAGTCCTTCCTTACTGTTATTCCAATGTTCACTAACCGCGAAGGCTCTACTATCAACTAAACCCAAATACTGTACATGCCTATCTTACATGCCGATCTCTTATATAGGGTGATGTATGCAAATTCAGGCTTCAGCTAGGGACATCATTGTGATTGTCTAGCATAAGGCATGTGCACGTCTGTAAAAACTTAGGAATTGTTCTTTCCGCCAAAATTTATTGCGGACGTAAGATTTCCATGTGTGCTGTGCAAAAAAATAAATTTCAGCGGACCTTATTTTAGCCTATGTGGACTACATTTGGCAAGTAATTATGAGGCCAAAATCAGTCCGCCGGACTGATTTTTGCCCTGGACCAAATTTTTCCTGACAGATCAACCCGGAGTAATGCTTCAGGAAGACGTCAGCTGCATTTCAATCCGGTGTTCGCGCACCGGGTTGACTGTCTGACCTCATTTACATTACCTACGATCACCGAATTAAACGCCCCGGTGCGTTGACTTCTCCGAGTTCAGCTCGGTGTTTCGGTGATAGTGTAAAAGGGGTATATGAATATAAATGTAGTACCAACGGAAATAATTTTGATTTAGGCTAATTTGACTGCAGTATCGCTGTTTGGTAATTGATATTATAATTATTTAAATAGGAAAGCAAAATGATATGGAGAAAGAGAGATCAAAGTTGGTAGTTTCTTCACCATCTCCGAAAGCTAGTGCCAAACAACTTGGTGTTGGCATGCGCACTGTCAGAAGGCCATTCGTTTGGATGACCCTCTAGAAGAGGAGACAACAGTTTAGGTAAGCCTTTCAATTTCCAATTTGTTTATTAAGAATATAGAACAGTGATACATTTCACAAATACCTGATTTAAAGATTGTTGGGGAGGTTAAACACAGTAAAGAGATAAGCAGTCATGAAAAAAATTGTAATTTGGATGCTTTTGCTGGTTAATCTAAGTGTAGTAATGTGCACATCTGACCTTTTATTTTGCTTTGATTAAGGTATATATAATAATACAGTAAAAATATAAATTGGTCATTGCATTTGGAAATACTTTTTTATGTCACTTGCTTGTTTGGCCTGCAGTCAAATTTGGCATGGTCGATTATATGATACATTAATAAACAGCATAATATAAAGTTTATACTTTTGTTTGTATAGACAAAAAATATATATAATATTTGTATATTTAATCCACAGACTTCACCAGCAAGAGATATCCAAATACGTCATCAACTATTCTAAAGCAATCACTTGCAAATAAAATAAAAGAACTGAACAAACAAACCAGATAACAACCGAGCTTTCATGAATGGTTTAGTATCAAAAGGTGGCATATATTCAGATATGTTTGCAATCATATATTTTATATATTCACCATTCAACTAAATGTCTTTCTACTTTTAAATGGTAATGTAGTGTATATTATTTTGTATTTTAAATACTGTAACTGTGGTTTTGTTGTTTCTTAAACTTTACTAATATAGTTTTGTCTAACACTTTCATTTTCTACTACAACAATCAAATCTTTCTTCAATACAGTAATTTAAAAAGACTTGTTTATGCATAAAAAAATTGTTTTGAAATTTTGAAGGAATATGTACTTAAACTAAGGAATGTACTTAAGATTAGGGGTGCTTTTTATACTATACATAAATTTGCAATAATATATATATATATATATATATATATATATATATATTTATTTATAAAACAATGACCATTCTATTTAGATACACTGTAAATCTAAAATCTCTGCCTTTGTATCAGCAATAATTTATTAAACCTTGTTTATGCATTCCACGAAAATGTAATTTTTAGATTTAAAAGGAAAATATACATATATTTAGGGATTCCAGAGTTAAAAATCTTTTTAAATTCAATAGTATTTCAATAGTAAAATGTTATACCCTAGTAGCCAGACCAGGTTTTGTACGCACTTTAAAATTGGTTTAGGGTGGTCCAAGAATCATTTTGGCTTGGTAACACATTTTCAAAATGTGGCGAAAGGTCAAACGTTCAGGGTCAAATGTAATAGCTATAGGGTCGTCATATCTCCGCAACCACTGGTGGTAGAGAGTCAATTTAGGTGCCTTTTTGTTCAGAACAGTCATGATTCTATTTGCTCTAATGGAAATGCTGTTTCTAACCTTTGACATGTTTCAAGGTGATAGCAAATAGGGTCATTATATCTCCGCAACCACTCCGCGAAGAGTTAATTGTGGTGTCAATATGTTTGGAACATTAATGTTTCTATTTGGTCTAATAAAAAAGTTTGCTAGAAAATGACCGGAAATGCTATTTTTGAACTTTGACATGTTTCAATATAGCCATAAAATCTTCATATCTCCACAACCACTGGTGATAGATAGTTAGTTGTGGTGTCAATTTGTTAGGAACATTCGTGTTTCTATTTGGTGTAACAGAACAGTTTGCTAAAAAATGACTGGAAATGCCATTCTCACCTTTGACATGTTTAAATGCATATATGCCTATCCCTATACATACTTACTGGAAAGACTTGATTGTGATCGCAAATTATTCATTTAAACGTTTCTGTTTACTTGATTGGAACCTTTTGTTCTAACAAATATGGCGATACTGACCATTCACCCATGTTACAAGGCATTTATCACAATAAAGTGACAATACTGTTCTTATACTGGCAACCAGTGTTCACAAGTAGTTGCCTTTTGTGTAAAACTCCTTAAAATGTATATAATATATATATACATATATATACACGTATATGTATATGTATATATATAATGTTATTATGTATATGTATAATAATATAATATATATTATGTATATATATATATATATATATATACTGTACATATATATGTACATTTGAGTTCTTAGCAGAAACCTTGACAATTTATATACATATATACGTATATATATATGTATATATATTATTATTATATAGATATTATATATATTATATATATAATATAAATATATATATATATATATATATTGTGTTTATTGTAATATAG